AGACTCCGAAATAGGCTCCAGGCTCTGAGCTGGCAGTCAGCACAGAGCCCGACGCGGGGCTCGAACCCACGAACCGCGAGATCATGACCCAAGCGAAAGTCGGACGCTTAACCGACTAAGCCACCCAGGCGCCCCAACAACTATTCTATTTTCAACAAGAACTAGCTTTATACTGCCTTCTGGCAATAACAGGTAACCATGAACCAAAGCAACTTATTCTGGACTGGGCATTATCTTGTCTATACAGCCATGAAGTTAGGCATTTCCAGCAGTAATCTACTATCCAATAGAAATCATATATACAGAATGGATATCCTGCCCCCTTAAGATCTCAAAGGCAAAAATCAGATCCATGGATGGCTTTTTAATGTCTGAACATATAATCCCACCTTTCTTTGAATTTATGTCTTTTGCTTGAAGGGTGAACTTAAGACCAGTTGACACAAAAGGATAAAACTCAAGGCCAGATTACCAATGACCTCAGTATCAGTGAAAAGTGAGCTGTGTAACATTATAGTCTGTCTCAGCCAGGGTCAAAGAAGACAACTGGAAAGGAAATTTCTCATTGGCCATTGTGCTTGGTAGAGTTTGGCTTGAGGGCAATACTTTTTTTTCTTATATAATCTGTTATTGGTTTTGATTTTCCTTTCATGTCTGCTACCCATGGGCTTATTGAATATTTTATTTACTACCATAAAATGTTGCACAGCACTTCTTCCAACCAAGTAATTTGTTTCAAAATGAAAAAAAAAAAAAAAAAACCCTCCAAAAAAACAAAAAAAACAACCAAAGGCAATAGGTACATATCGCATCAATGATTTTATAATTCCTTATTACTCATGGATAGTAGACTTTGAAAGATTGGCCTATTGAGAATTCCACTTGAACATCAGCTGACGGATACTGCTACATGTTTGGTGTACTGATTGCAGGCGGTGATATACTAGCTGAGCCCTAAGTCAACATTTACATTCTCTTCCATTTGCTGAAACTCTCTGCTAGCCATTTTTAGTCTTTTGTGACTCTAGAGCACCCTTTCTAAGCAGAAAGGCTATCATCATATTGTCTGGGACGATCAATTCTGACTATCAAGAGAAAATACAGCCACTGCCACACAGTAAGGTATCAGATGTAAGTGCACTGCTGCTTCTATGTTTATCATTCCCTGAAGTATAAGGTATTGAAAAATTTCTATGACTTCATCCAATTGGATTTTCAAGGGCTCAAATCCCTCATAATTTTTCCAGCTGACAAACTCTGATAGACTGAAAGGAAGAAATAGCTGGAATGAGTGATAGACATGAAGGAAAGTCAAGAGCCTTGGGACTAACTATAAGATGTGGCACCTGTAATATACACCTGTGTTTAGCTATTGTTCATCTTTTGTTGGTACATACTACCAATGATATACTAACATATCAACTTTCTTTCCCTACCATTGGGCACAGTACTTAATGATGGTTAAATGTACCATCAGTCGAGGTTACATAGAAAGGTGAGTAGTACATAAAAGGTTTATGGTAAATTAGGTTGGGGAAATGTTAATAATTGCACAGTTTCATTAACGTAAGTAATGTTGTGGGGCATGTGGGTGGCTCAGTCGGTTAACCTAAGCCTGGCTTCGGCTCAGGTCATGATCTCACAGTTCAAGAGTTCAAGCCCCACGTCAGGCTCTTTGTGGACAGTTTGGAGCCTGAAGCCTGCTTCACATCCTGTGTCTCCCTCTCTGTCTGCCCCTCCCCTGCTTATACTCTGTCTCTCTATTTCATAAATAAACATTAAAAATGATTAAAAAATAATTTAAAAAACGTTGTGCAAGGCACATTTAGAAATATATGTATAGGATAAAGGATATGTGTGTGGGCAGCAAAGTGGTAGAACGTACTGAAGATGATAGTCATGACATTTTGGAAACTCAACTTCTCTTTCTAGCTAACTACCTCAGTGGTATATAAGCACAAGGATAGAACTGGGCTACGGGGAATGGCAGTTCAGTTTTAGTCTTGTTGAGTTTGTGCTATCTATAAACCATCCAGCTAGAGGTGTGGATTCGGAGCTGTATCAATGTGTCTGTAATTCAGAGAAGAGCTGGAGGCAAGAGACATAGACTGGAAATCATCTGTGTATAAACACATCTACTTGTGTTGATGAAATCATCCAAGGGGCTTGAATAAAATGAGAAGAGGAGTAGGATGAAACTTTGGAGATCTGAAATTTGAAGAACTGGCAAAAGTGAGGGAAAGTCAAGAGCCTTGGGAGCTCCACAAATGTTGGAGCACTATTAAAAATGATGTCACAGTGGGGCACCTGGATGGCTCAGTAGGAGGAGTATGCAACTCTTGATGTCAGCGTTGTGAGTTCGAGCTCCACATTGGGTAGAGAGAGGACTTAAAAATAAAACTCTTTTTAAAAATGGTGTCACAGAAACAACAAGAAAAATGTTTCAAGGAGTAAAGAGTGATGGGGCACCTAGTTGGCTCAGTTGGTTAAGTGTCTGACTTCAGCTCAGGTCATGATCTTATGGTTCATGAGTTCAAGCCCTGTCTCAGGATCTGTGCTGACAGCTAGGAGTCTGGATCCTGCTTCAAATTCTGTGTCTCCCTTTCTCTGTCTCTTCCCCACTCATGCTGTCTCTCACTTTCTCAGAAACAAACAAGCATTAAAAAAAAAACAAAAAAACTTAAAAAGAAAGAAAAAAAAAAGAATTTTGAGGCCACTGGTGTCCTAAGCAGAGTTGTCTCAGAATTAAAGGGGTGATGCAACTGGCATAGAAAAGTGGGGGAAGGGAAAAAAACTTAGTTTCAATAAGTTTGACTGTGAAGGGAAAGGACGAAACAGGAAAATGGCCTTGTGAAATAAAGAGTAGAAGAAAAGCGAATTGGAAAGCCATGATATGATTTAGTTTCTCCTTGAGTTGTACCATTCTTATTGTTATCAATAAAAACATATGCTCACGAATTGCTTGAAAACTTGTATTTATTTTTCAGATCCAGTCAACAAGAGAACAAAATACCTCAGAATGAGAATTCACACTCTGAGTGAGATACAAATGTTTAGTTATTCTATTTAGTGATCATTTTTGTACATTTGTAAAATAAATACCTGGCCTGTTATACCTGGAAAGGTAACACTGGAGTTAACTGACTGTTGAGGATGCAGATTGGTGGCACATGTCTAGGCAAGCACATGCCGTGGTGTGCCTGTATCTGTAAGGCATTGTACTGCCATTAGGACAGTCAAGAAAAACTTCTCGGAATTCGTACTTATCTTCTTGGCAGCAAAGGCAAGAGTTTGTCAACTGAAAGATATGATAATTGTACCTAAAGGAAAAGAAGATTCAGCAATAAATATTTTTGGGATACCTTCTGAAACAAATTGACATCAATGCTCAAATTATAATTGTCTAAGTGATTTAGCAATCCTTCCAACCAATTTACTCTTTTCCTGTACTTTGCATTTCCCCTTCACCATGAACTTCTGATGTGGGTCAGTGATAATTAGTATGCAAGACCAAAAGAAATAAATCCAATATAGAAACTTACAATCTCATAATTAGAGCATTATGGAAAAAATATAAGCAGATTTTTAAATATACAACTTCATACCAAATATTACATATTAATCTACACAGCAAAGTGTCCATGAAGGAAAAACAATATATATTATGTCTAAAATGCAAGTGACAGTTTAAAAACACATTTTTAACCAAGAGTATTTGCTTAAGTACTCTCAGTAATTACTGTATGAAAATAAATACATTTGTCATGAATGTAGTAGGTTTGTTACTTAGAAGCCTACTTTAAACCATTCATTACTATTGAAAATGTTTATTTTATTTCTAAGATCTTAATATCTTAGCTCTTTGTTTGATCAGGTCTTGATCATTAGCTCTCACATAAAAAATGTTCCCTGTAATTTTTAAAAGCTTAATTTCCTCTACAATTTTACAAAATTAGTGCACCGTACACAAAAACACTCACTTGACAGTGTTCTTGCATTCCCCTACACATCTTGCCATCTCGAGTCTTTTCTGGCAACCACTGTACTTAACAGTTACATTCACAAGTGAAGATCTACAATTGGTATTACCTAAAGCAAAATGAATAACAGAATCAGAAATGAGGTTTAACATGAACAATTGCTAAGTCTCAGTTTTCTGAACCTTAAGTGGAGAATCATAACAAAAAATACATCACAGGGTTGTTGAAGGGATTAACTACCACAGTACCCAGCACAAGTTACCTGGTTAGTATTCAATAACTATCTTTAACACATGTTATCTTTTCAATATTGCTATCATTATTATCATAGGAGAAGGAGGAGGGAGGGAAGAAGGAAGAAGGGAGGAGAGAAAGGGGGAAGGGAAGACGGAGCTGAGTGGATTGTTTCTGACATCCATTTCTCATTGTGGACCATTCTTATTGTCTAATGCATCAATTTACAACAGAATCTTATATTAGAGAGCTTATATTAGAGAGCAAACTATAGTTTTTCATGAAAATCAAATTTCTTCCTTGTAAACATCATTGGTTTTTACTGGGAAGAATGTTTCAACCAACATGAAAAAGTATAATACATAATGTACATGTATCAATTGTTAGTTTCTGCATATAGGTTAGATTGACTACCTGTTATGTTAAAAATACAGGAGACTTTCTATTAATGACCTGACATTTTGTTTTAAAGAAACACTAAATTTTTGTTAACAGTTGACATTTCCTCTACATGTGGCGCTTAATGTTACTTACACGTATAGCAACATTTGTTTGAATCATAGACTCTGTCTTCCTGTAGGGGTAAGAGAAATAGAAAAAGACTTAAACACATCAGTATTATTTTATAAATAATATAACATTACTGAACTTACTCAAATTACAAAGGGAAAATGGAACAGATTCACATGCAGATCTCAGATCCAGGAAGCATGTGTGAAAGAGCATAATAATGAAAGTGAATCTGAATATTTACACTAAAATTTTTCAACCACGGGAATAAAGGGAAAAATATTTAAAATAAATTCTTCTTTAAAATAACGTGCAAAAAAGTAAAAAACTAATCCTCCCTTATTTTAATTGAAAAATGCTTTAATATTGGTATTAGCACTAGACACTATACGTTTCTTACAGGAAGGATTTTTACCTTACACATTATTATAACCTCAAGCCTATCAATGTTTCTAAGTAAAAACTCAGTAAATGTTTAAATCCAACATTGGAGTACTGAAATCAAACTTTAAGCTATATTATCACTTGTATCTTCAGAAAGAAAAATTAGGTAAGTTTGAACTGTAAAATGTGAGCACTTATTATTAACTAATTTAATTAAGACTTAAGCTTAACACTTAGCATTTATTAATACAAAATCCTCACCATATTGGAGGAGGGTGGTAAAAATGAAGACTGTGGCACAAAGAAAGATCTGAAAAGTATGTTCATCTGTAATTTTATGAAAACTTTGTATTTTTCTAGGAAGTGATTAACCCAAATCCATGAGCCTTAAAAAAAAAAAGTTGGTGTGTTTTCGTTTTTTTTTTTTTTTCTGGTTTGTTAAAAGTAGCAAAAAGCTTTCTAAAATAACTTACTTCCTCTAGAATAGCACTAGATTAAGCTTCATAGAGCCTGCAAATATAACTTTGATATGAAAAATATACTTGGCAATAAAAGGTGCGAAACATATCTGGAATGGAAGCCACAAGAAATTTATGTCTGTTGGCCAGGCAGAGTTTTCCAAATGAGAAAGAAGACAGCTTGTGTTTGTATCTAACATAACAAGTGGATGCTGTTGACGGCTGCCTGAGAAGATGACTTACTTCCGCACACCAGCTCTGCTTTGGGCAGTCCTGGACCGCTGCGATGACCCCACTGCTGTGGCAGGAGTAGGAGACGCAGGGGTTGCTGGGGTCATCAAATGAAGCACCAATCTGGGAGGCGGGGAGGGAGAAAGAAGAAAGGATTAATTCATCTGGGTTTCTTGTTGACTGAAAACAAAAATCTGTAAAAAAAAATAATAATAATTCAAATTCAGACTGTTAAGTGAATTTCCAGAGGTAAATAATTAATATTTAAGGAAAAGTGAATTAAATAAAAGCTGTCTGCTTCCATGAATACATCAATACGCCTCCTTGAGAGCACAGACTGAGTCAAGATTCTGAATCCTCAAGTGAAAATTCATTCACATATTCTATTCACCTACTCAGCCGCTGTATTATATTTTTCAAATATTTTCAAGAAAGGTTGTTTTATGGCGAGCAGGCAATCAACCAATTGCTACGCTCTAAATTTGAGGGAAAAATAAGTAATCTACATAGAAAAAAATGGCACAAAACAGTTTTATCAGATGACTACAAATGATAAATGATTATGACAAATGATACATCCCACAAGACATCTACTTCTGCTTGTGTTCCTATACTTGTAAAGTTCTCTGGGTTGCTTAAAAAATAATTTATGTTCAAAATTCAAATGCCAATTTGGGAAATTGTATTTATTTCAAACTACAAAATGAACTTTCTGATAAACTAGAATTTAATTATTTAACTATTTTACATATAAATGTAAAAGGTAAATCTTTTCCTTTGTTCTTTAAACATCCTCATACTTTATATTTAAAAACTAGCTAGTTAAAAACTAGTGCCCCCTATGGGGAGCCTAGGTGGCTCAGTTGGTTAAGCATCTGACTCTCGATCTCAGCTCAGGTCACCATCTCATGGTTTGTGAGTTTAAGCTCCGGATCTGTGCTGCAGCACAGAGCCTGCTTGGGATTCTGTCTCTCCCTCTTTCTGCCCCTCTCCTTTTCCCATTTCAGTCTCTCTCTCTCTGTCTCTGTCTCTCTCTCTCTCTCTCTCAAAATAAAAATAAATAAACTGGGGTGCCTAGGTGGCTCAATAGGTTAAGCATCTGATCTTGATTTTGGCTCTGGTCATGATCTCATGGTTCATGAGATCAAGCCCCATTATCAGGCTCCATGCTGATGGCACAGAGCTTGTTTGGTATTCTTTCTTGCCTCTCTCTCTGCCCCTCCCCCTGCTCACACTGTCTCATTTTCAAACTAAATAAACATTTGAAATTAATTAATCAATTTTAAAAAACTACAAGATTCTCAAATCACATTACCTTTTGAAACCAAAAATTAAGAAACCCCAGACAGATATTTGAACATGATAAATAAAACACTCATCAACTTTGTTTTATATATTTCTTAACATACCGCATAGATTTATGTTAGACTCTTACTATTTAGTATCACCAGCTCAAAAGGATTATCAATTTGAGAACCATCTAGGTTTTATGGCTTCCTGGTACCTTTTTTAAAAAGTTAAATTACTTTCCAAAATGCCAAATCACTTGTCAAAATCTAGCCCTGAATATACGTATTGTTATATTCACATAATGGGGTTCCAGTCTTTGGGGGTTTTTCATTTGATCTCTGACAGGTTGGCCATCTGATCTTTCTGGTTATAATTACAGTTTAACTCTGTTCATTGATTTGAATGTCACAGACTGCGCCTTTTCCATCTGGTCAGACCCCTGGGAAATTTTATTCAGAAGTTAGGTAGTTAATGATCAAGTATATTTTCCCCTTTTGAAGCGAGTCATGCTGAGTGTTACATTTGATGCTCCTTTTGAAGTGAATATAGGAAAAAAAATGAAGAGATCTGCTCCACCAGTACCTATGATTCTTCCATATTATAAACTGAAAGAGCCTGCATTTATTCATAATTATATAAATAAAAATATTTTAAAGTAAAAACAGTCTTACCTCATACTCAGTATTGTTAAATAAGCATGTTCTTGGTTCTGAAAAATAAATATATTATTTTATTCTAAAATAAACATTATAATTCTGTTTCTGTTAGAAATTTCTGTTGTAAACCAGAAATTGTATATGGAATCATATTTATCAACCAATTAAATGTTTCTTCCCACACCACCATCTCCCTTTAATAAATTCATTATATTCATAATTATTAATTATGGGTTTCCCCCACTCCAAAGATAGTGAGCTTCAAGAGATCAAGTACCATTCTGTTTTATTTATCACACTCATCTAGCATAGAGTTTGACACATAGTAGAAGCTCAATAAATATCTCCTCAATATGTGAATAAGTAAACAACTATTCAATTCAAATAATGTATTGTGAATACACACCACAGTATCCAATTTCACAGCAGGTGTCATTAGCTTTGAACTTTACAAGCCTCTCTCCAGTTTTGCATGTGGGTGCAGAAGGGCACTCCTTGGGTTTACAGTCTACAGCCTTTGCAGCAGTACAGGTGCATTTGTGGCAATTGGCAGTCCATATGTCTCCAGGCTGCAGACACAAACCAAGTTCGGACTTCTATTCAGATACAGGAATGACAGCAAATTTGGATTAAAGTAGAGAAAAAGTGTGTACTTACAGATTTCTCTTCTCCCAGAGGACCATGACAAACTGTGAACATGAGATGATAAATGCTAATTAAATTTGGCAAAATAGAACCATCTGTTATATGTAGATAACCACCAGGTGGCCAGTACTATAATTGGAACTAGGGTTTCAGAAACACAGAATTATGGAGAATTGTATGGTGCCTTCAGGTGGGTAAATCACATCCACCTATTTTGAGCAAACTGTCTCTAATGAGTATAGATATTTCCTATTTTACAATCCCAACATAGGTTAATTACTAATTTCTGCTGGCAGTGGTCAATAAATCTTATGACTACTGTTTTAGTTACTGTTTTACAGTCTAACCTCTGCTGCCATAACTATGAGTCACCAAGACTTTGTAGTTACCAGTCCCTAAGGCCCTTTGTCAGTTTTTCAAGTTCCCTACAACTGCTGACATTTTTAACTCTCACCTTCTTGGACATGTTCTCTTTCCTTCAAGTTCACCACTCTGAAATTCCTTTTATTAGCAATTCTTTTTCTTCCCTCTCATTGTCTCTGTCCTTTCCTGATACTTTCTTCTATCTCCAGTATCCACTGTAATGTCAAGTGGATGACTCTCAAACTTGCAGCTCCAGTCCAGACAGCTCTTGTAGACTATGGACCCAGGTTTCCCTTGGCCTAATAAACAGCATTGCAGCTGGTCTATAAGACCCTCAAACTCAATAGGCACTAACAGAGTATATCATCTTGGCCCTAAAGCCAGTTTCTCATCTAAACTGGCTTCTTTCTATTGAGAACCAAACTATTCTTTCAATTATTTAGCTTAAAACTTTAAGTCATTTTGATTCCTTCCATATCATCACTTGGCATCCAATTGACTACAAAATCCTGTATCTTCATCTTTACTTCAATCCCTTTCTTTCCTGGTTGTACTTGCTACAATACAACTCCAGGACGTTGTTATCTTTAATCTAGCATACTTGGGCTTTTCCAGGGGTAACTCTGACTCGGATTCCCCCCTGATCCAATCAATTCTCTATACCACAGATAGAATAGTTTTTCTAAAGCCTAATTTTCATCTCATCTTTGCTTTGGCTAAAGACTGTGGATGGCTCCTAATAGACTTGTAAAATAAATACTTAATTTTAGCATTCTCGCTCTTGAGGTCTGCCACTATGTGGCTCCGATCTACCTTCTCAATTTAGTCTCACTTCTCTCATTTACATGCCCTGGGCTAGCCTACATGTTGCTCTCAAATTCCAATTCTCAAATTCTAATACCTAAAAATTCCTCCAAACTGTACATGTAATGCATACATGACAGATAACAGGTGCTCTCTCTATAATACATATTTCATGTTCTTTATTGTGAAATTTATTTTCAGCCTTATATGAAAATTGACTGTATTTCTTTAAGAATATCCCTTTTCCCACTATATCCTATGATCAAAAAATGATTTTTATGTTTTGTATCTTCTGTCACTTTCTACAAAACACATCCCATTGGCTGGAGAACACTGGGGACTCAAAATCCTCTAAAATTATTGAACTTTGGTTAACATTAATTTCCCTTACTACAACTCAGTCCTCAAAAAATCTGGAATTATCTGGTTTAAAAAATACTATTTTTAAACAATTTTTGATGAAGATATCATTAATTATACAAAACACTTTATTTAGTAGGTAAACTCTATTTTGAGAAAGCAAAATAGGTTTGTTTGCTTGGTTTGGCTGCATTAGTCCCTGGGTGAGAAAACAGACTACCATTCGCTATGTATTTGGTGAATAAAAGTTAAATTCCTACTTTTCCAGTTTTCCTATTCTGGTACATTTCCACAGCTAGCGACTTTCACATAATGTAGAATGGTTGTTTTTTTGAGTGGAAGTTTTCTTGTTTTAAGTTTATTTACTTATTTTGAGAGAAAGCTGATGTGTGTGAGAGAGGGGCAGAGAGAGAGGGAGACAGAATCCCAAACGGGCTCCACACTGTCAGTGCAGAGACCGATGCAGAGCTTGAACTCACAAACCATGAGATCATGAACCGAGCTGAAGTTGGAGGCTTAACTGACTGAACCACCCAAGTGCTCCTTGAGTGGAAGTATTCTTACCTGGAGGTGGTGGAAGTGATGCTGGACATCCTGTGTAAAAAACAGACACCTCATGTTAGCCTCTAAAGTTACTGAAATTGTTTTGGGTTAAAATGGTTATCTAATAACTGAAAATAATTGGCCACATTGCTAGTCTAAAAGACTTATTTCTGTCTACCTTCCCTTTCTTCTTCTTATGGCATTTCAAATTCCACCAGTAGAGAAAATTCCCTTTGGACCCCAAATCTGAATGGGAGGAGAATATGGGAGCCTAAAGGAGAAATGAGAATATATCCAGGTAAACTACTCTTCAATTTTTTTTTGCAGACAGCTCCAATTAAAGGGACAATAAAATACATATTCAAAAAGGAAAAGGATAATTCAGATATAGGAAAATGTAAGTGTTACTAGTAATCTAGTTTTAATCTATAAGAACGTTTACCTTCTTTTTAACTTTCTGAAATATTTCAGTCTTACTCTATCTCCACCTGCACCAAATGGCTTAAGCCAGCCATGTGTTTAAGTCTTCACACATCACATATTTTAGTCAACCCAACAATTAACTCAAAACATTTAAATTGTATTTCCAGACTTCTAAAAAATCAAATTAATATTTTAATTCTATCTACCAAGCAAAGGCTAGCCTAGAAGTAACAGAATGTTTGAAAGGAACCTAAAATCGTTACATATTTAAGGAAAGGGGCCACAATAACTAATAGGGGCAGAAAAATAGAAAGGAAATTAGTGAAAGATGTGGGAGTTTGGGGATCAAATATCTCCCTTAGCTGAGGAAGGCTAGATTAATCCCCAATTATGAATGCTTAGCAGATTAGCAGAGAACAGTAACTGGAGAGATAAATGTCTTATTAGGCATAAATACAGCAGAAAATCTTCCCTAACCAGGATTCCAAGGGTTCATTGAAGATATTTGTCAGAGGAGCCATAAAGAATAAACTCCTACTCTCCACATTGCTGTCTGAGTCAATTCTCTAAAACACCTTTTTGATCACATCATTCTCCAGATAAAATCCTTAAGGGGATCCCATTTAGTATATGAATAAAGTCTCATTTGTATTTAGAAATAAAGTTTCTCTTGAACTTTCTTCTACTTTCCCATCTCATTTATCTCCTCAACCTCATACAATCATGACCAATACCTGGCCCGTTCCCGAACTCATTCATGCTGCTCCATGTCTCTGTCTTTTCATGACTGGCTGGCAGGAATTTCCTCCTCATCCCAGAGCCAATATTAAACTCAATCATCTCCTTTCTGATGCCTTCACTGAACATTACCAACTAATAAGCAGAAATTAATATTCTATTCACTCTATACAACTGGGATCATAATTATTGTACATTTTGGGGGGTTAGCATTAAATACACTGTAATGATAGTATCTGTGCCCATAATAATCTACCTACAAACACACAAAAGTAATAAAACAGCAAGGATTTTATTTTATTGATATTTTTGCTATTAGTGTCTCCTATAGGTCTAGCATATATAATAGTAAAAAAATATTAGTTGGATAAGTAAAGATATTGGGACTTGCCCCCTAATGACCTGTTTTATTTTCAGTTTCCTGATCTCTTGTTGTGACTACAGTGGTTTCTAAAGAGAAATAAATTAATGGTATTGTCATTTTATTTATTAGAAAAACATGTGTGCATGTAAAGTCTCTCTCTGTGTGTTTATGCACAAATGACAGTGCAAAATCATGCTCAAAGGAAGCTTTGTGTGAAATAAACAATTCATTCCAGCACACTTGAGGCATTTCATTTTACCTTGGGAGGACACTCTGGGGCTTGTTGTGATTCTACTTGACATGGAGGTGGAGCCTATAAAAGGAAATACAAAAAAATTTCAGGAATAGCACATTTCATAATTCCATTCCCAGAGATTTCAAGCTACATAATTAAGTATTCAGGAATTCTGGCAAAAGGCCAAACAACAACAAAAACAAAATCCTAGATTAAAAAAAATGTATATATCTAAATGAACTTCAAAGTCACGTTTGAAAAGGAAATTTGGTAAAATCTCCCTGGACTTTCTCTCCTGTTTCTGCTACATTTCCTTTCCCCAAACCCATCTCCTCGTATATAATCACAGGTGCAACAATAATTGAGGAATTTGTATTGCCAGCAGTCACCTGTTTGCATTCCAGTTCCAGAGGTTTCCTTGACTCCTATTGAAGCAGTGGCTGGAAAGGGCATTATAAAAGTAGTAAGTATAGCGGACTGGCTAAGCTACAGTTGGACTTCACACAAGCTGGTCTGTCTTCTGAGATGTCACCAAGCAAAGTTCATTTATTATTATTTGACTTACCTGTGTTAGAAATTCTAGGAGCAGTGGTTGTTTCAAATGGTTCTCTGGAGGTACCTAAAATGAAGAGAGGAAGAGCAACGCACTTTTTCTGGTCTCAGAAGAAAATGTCCTAAGACATCTCTATAGGAGACAAGAGTCTCGAGCACCTAGCGTGTACTAACGCATCTACTAGTGCCAGCGCACGCTCCTGTCACTGCAACATAAGAGGCTCCTATCTTAGCAACTCCTTGCTCACAGGAATGAATTGATTATTTCCTCATAGCCCAGGTAAATTTCTCACTTACAGATTCCCTTCTCTAAATGATACAGACTTTTTTCACATCTAATTAATTTACTTCCCATAACTTGGTTTCTGATTCTCTTCTATTAGTTTTTTGGACAGTGAAATTATAAGAGTAAAAAAAAAAATGAGAAGACATCTGTGTTGATCAAGATGGTCTAAACACTCCCTCTCAACTTGACTAAATTTTATACAAGTTTCTTCCTGATTAGAAGGCCCTGTACTCTCTTTTCTTAGAGCATTTATTTTAGAAAATTTGTGGCTGTAAATTCTTTCTCTGCCTTCTTGAGGTATAAATCTTTCCCTATTCTCTGGACAGTTTTACAACCCAAGAATGTCTTCCTCCAACACCTGGGAGCCACCTCTTTGAAATATAATCATTGAAAATAACAGTAATCCTATCTTTTTTTCTCTATGGGAAGTTGGAGCCTAACTTCATTCCATAAGCACCAATCAGCAAACTTAGGTGGCCTAATCACACAGACCAGCCTCCTCTCCAGTACTTTTCCCATAGTTCATCCCAGACCTTAAAACATCCCCTGGCTTTTATTTCAGAAAAGAGGAGTTAAAACCTCACTGCTATTGCAATAGTCTTGACCCCTATTACAATAATCTTAAATAAAGTTTTCATTGCCATTTAAATTCCATCTGGTGCAATTTTTCTTTTAGAGTTCAAGTTTGACATTCATTCATAGCGATAAATTTGGTTATCTGAAACATTAGGTGTGAAAGAGAAGAATGTCAAGCATATAAACTTCAATTGAAGTCATTCCCATTACCTTGGGTGGGACTTTCTGGGACACCAGTAATTTTACTTGATGCCACACTAGTACCTATGAAGGCAAATGAAAAACATTTTGTATCAGACATGCCTCCAATGGCTATCCCCAAAAATCAACAGCAAGAAGAGAAGGTAAGCCAGGTGAAAGTCTGGGCCAATACTGCATCCAGCACATAGAAGACTCTTGTGAATTACAAACCACATCTCTTTGGGCCGATGTGGCCTCATTTGATTTATGCCTTTTTAGGGAAATGTTGGCTGGATTTCAGCATCTATTCCTCCTTTTAGCATTGTGTCTTTGTGCACTTATACAAACTTGCCTGGGTGCTCTGGTCTGAGTCCAGAAACTCAGAGCAAGAAGATAACAATGGCTGAGAAAAGTACATTCCTAATGAGATTCTGACCTATTTCTTGGCCCTTTATTATTACCTTCAACATTCCTCTACACTGAAGCAACGCCTTAGGAGTCATTAATGAGAATGCAACAGATTTGAATCACTGACTTACTTATTTCCATTCCAACTCCAGTGGTAGCCCCTAAGAGAGGAAAACAAGAATGAGGTCAGGACTGCTCTGTTGATGTTGCAATAGACAACTGTAGAGAAGGAATCTTATTTTTTTTAAACTTAGATACTCTACCACTTACTGAATATTTACTAACCTGTGTTAGAGCTTCCAGAAATAACTGTTGTGCCAAAGGCTACCCCAGTGGTACCTGCAATAAAATGGGAGGATGAGCCTCACAAACCCTTCCTCACCTTAAGAAAAGTATAGTATTGGCAAGTGCTGCTATTTCTCTGAAGCAATAGAAAACAATTTAAAACAATTTTTCTTGTACCATGTGTTAAACCTGACATGTTTTCCAATGCACTTTCTAATGATTGCATGTTCAAAGATAATATAAGAGGAAAAGCTACAACTGTATCAATGATCTTATTTCTCTAGATCCATATCATCTAGAATCTTATTAGTAAATGAGAGAATGACTGAATTTACATGATTTAATTCCAGTGACTTAACTCTTTGATTCTCCGGTGGAAGAAACCCAGAAAAAAACAACTGCATCTATACTTATCATCTTAGCTGGTGGTAACTGTCAGTGATTCTGGGGTATTGCCTGACAAAACAGAGGGAGTAGAGTTTCCAAGAAAAGATGTGTCTAGAGAATTACATCTACGGTTGTTTCCTAGGAAAACCCCGGAGGCTAACCTAGGTTGACCCTGTGATCTGTTATTAACAGAAAAGGAACCACCTCCAGTCATGCTCGTTTTTGCTCATAATCTGTATGTAGTAAGCTCAAATGAAAAAAAATCATTGAGAATCCAAAATCCAGTAATCACCTGATGAAATTCCTGCTTTAGTGGTTCCAATACCTTCTTTAAAAGCTGTGGTTTCTGTAAGAGCAAAGAAGAAAAGATTGAAAAGATTAAGATTTTGTACATATGCAACTATATGGCAGTGTACAATTTTGCCCACAGAGCCCTTAAAGGGCAATTCCTTTTACTTCCTGACTTACCTGCTGTGAAACTTCCAGGTGATGATATATTTACAGAGCCTGTCCCGGTAGTGACTGGGGTGGGAGAAAGAAGAAAGGGTAATGTGAGTGAGCACTGCCTTTCTTATTGGATGGGGATGATCATTTAGGACAAACATGTGTTTCTGTGAAACAAAACATTTTTTCTCCAGGATTCCTTGCCCCAAAAGTAAAATAAATATTTTTCCTTGCTCTGTTTTATCCTCCATGATAAACTCCATTCTTCTGTTTTCTGGAATTAGTATCATGGAGATGGGTGCCTTCCCTATTTCACCTTTTTCACTTCCCCATGCTTACCTATTTTTCTTACAGTAGACTGACTCCCTGGAATTAGGTTGGTGACTTCCGAAGCTTAAAAAATGAAAAGAATTAAGAATCTTGACAGTTTAATTATTTCAAAAACAGTTCTCTCTTTCAATTTCAAAGTTTTATATCTCTAAGGTTAGGCTCTCTGAAAAATGAATCTTAACTAAAATTACATATGTCCTCTGAAAGTCCTGTGTGCTCCTGTCTGATCTGGGATTCTGAATCCCCAGATTAGAAGCAGAATGGTCTCCTGAGTCATATCCCAAGACTCCAGCACTTTTTTTTTTGCCCTTAAAACATCATGGACTAAGATAAATTCATAAGTTTCTAATAAGCAGTAAAGGGGCTTCTTTATGCAAAGAGAAGCAAACACCATGCTTTCCCACAGGCTCTTTCATTTCTCGAAACCAACATATGGTAAAGTTTCATTCTGGAGCTCTTTGTTCTCTATGGTTTAATGGTTTGGATAAAAGTGTTTTTCCTCTGCTCATTTGTTTTCCCTCCTGTGATTTGGCTTCCTGATGCTTCAGTAGGGACTCAGGAGTGTGAAGGAGCATGTAATATTTTTTTCATTTGTTGGGACCTTAGTTATGAGGATAAACCAATGGGAATGGGTTTTATATGTAAGAGAAGTCTAAAATTGATGAATTAAACATATCTACTAACCTGGACTAGAATTTTCTGGACCCCTGGAAACTTCAGCTGACCCTGAAGTAGTACCTGCTAAGGCAAGATGGGTAAAGAATTGAGAGTAATAGATGGTTCTTAGCTTCATAAAATATAAAAGGCTGGCGTATAGAGAAAAATCAATCTGAAGAGCAAAGCCCCACATTTGACTGACCTAACATTCTCTTCAAATGTAATACAAAACCCTGTCTTAGCTGGTCTGCTCACTCATTCATCACCTAACACAAACCCTTAAGCAGAACACTGTTAAGAACACAAAAGGCTGAAAGCAAACCGCTCACCAGTTGCCATTCCAAACGCAGTGCTAGTTTCAATTTCTGTAGAAGTTGTAGCTTCTGAGAGGAAATAGGAGAAAGCAATATGGAACACAGAAATTTGGAAAAAATGTATTATAGTATTACTTTATGTAATAGCCTATGGGAGACATTTCATCTCTTAAGTTCATAGAAGCAGGTTTCCTCAACTTTTTCACAACTTACTTGTGTTGGAACTCCCAGGTGCGATGGTTGTGCCGGTGGTTATCCTAGTGGTAACTGAAACCACAAAAGGAGAGAATCAATGTATTAATATCTTTTTACTTAAAATTAGGATTTAGTTTAGAAGAATTTGATGGGTTTCTCTAATGAACTAAAAGGTTTAGATGAGGAACCTCCTTGCCTTAAGTGATGTATCAATAATGGTTTCTATTATACCATTTTATTACAAATCTACAAAATATAAGACAATTCACATGGGATAAAGTGTTAACATCCTGATAATTTGTACTCAAAGAGAGATTAAGGTATAACAGAATTCCCTCTAAGTTCATTATAGTCACTGTGATTGACTTTAAGATGAAGAGAAAAATAATGATTTGACTGCTTGTAATCACTTATTTTAATTCCACCCTTGGCGTTCCCACCACTTCCAAAAGAAGTTGTAGCCCCTAAGTGAAAGGAAGAAAGGAGAAAGAAAGTAATCATATAACTGAGAAATGGTGGCGTGGTGGTTTCCCAGGCTATGGTAGGGAAAGTGTGTGATTGGGAGGAGGTGTTGAAGCAGGAGGCAGGGGAGTAAATTTTCCATTACTGAAGCTCCTCACATTCCCTGTTAGGTTATTGATTTACCCGTGTTGGAACTTCCAGATGCCGCTGTGCCAGTGATTACATCTGTAATGCCCGAAGTAGGAAAGAGAAAGACAGAATCCAAATGGTGATGCATTTACCATTCTGAAAAGAGCATGGCCAGCAGGACTGTCTGAGCAGAGCTTTTCTGAGCTATACTGTCAAGATGAAGTGCATTATCTATTCTTAAATTCAGGGCCACAACAAACACATTGGCTTATGGTCCAGTTTTGATGACTAGCTTCCCTAGGATTAATATCAGGAGTCTCCAGGCCTTTCCAATGCTTACCTGTTTTACTTCCAGGACTTGGCCTCTCAGATGCACCAGTGGTGGCTCCTGCTGACAAGAAATAGAAATAATATTTGTGTAAATGTATTTATTTGTATTCAATGAAATAACATCTGAAGTCCAAAATTTGATAGACCTAAATTTCCAGTTATTTCCATCATCTTTGCTTCCCTAAATAGAACTCCATGGACATATTGCCTCCACCTGATACTGGAGTAATAGCTTGAATATTAAAAAGGGACCTTTCTGGACTCCCCTCCTAAGAAATGCCATATGAGGTTTGCCCCCAGAAGAAATGAAATCATTTCCATAAATATAAACTTCCTCTAACAACTGTCCCCCCAAAAAGGCAAAGGCAGAATAAATTGTAAAGAACTCAAGAATTGCCAAATCCTGGGGCAACCGGGTGGTTCAGTGGGTTAAACATCTGACTCTTCATTTCGGCTCAGGTTCTGATCTCACGTTATTGAGATCAAGCCCCATGTGGGACTTAGCATGGAGCATGGAGCTTACCTGGGATTCTTTTTCTCCCTCTCTCTCTCTCATTCTCTCTGCCCCTCCCCCTCTCATGCCCATGCTTGCTCGCACGCGTGCTCTCTTTCTTTCTCTCAAAATAATAAACTTTTAAAAAAAGGAGTTGCCAATTCCACTTTCATTGGTTATACTTCCTTCTAATGGAAGCTGTAGCTTCTGATAGTAAAAAGAAAGTAGTGATGGCTAATGGAAAGTCATGGAAAAGAATCACATGCTATCCCTCCAGAGCTAGTCCCAAGAAAGAAATTATAGCACATCTTTACTTGTTGGCTTACTTGTGTTGGAAATTCTGGGTGAGATGGTGCTTCCTGGGGCCACTCCAATAGTACCTAAAAGCAAAATGGAATGGTATTATCATGTGAATTTTACTCCTGTAAGAAAAACAAATTATAGGACAGGATAGGGAAACTATACAACTTCTTTATTAGGTAGAAAAGATTATTTTTGGTAATAGCTTGTTCCAGAGTTGTTTTGTGTACTTTCTAATGTAAGTAAGTTTCATTCCCAATTCAGGTTTGGTGCTGTGAGGATAAAATGTGAGATAGTGGTGGAGAGTCTAAAGACAAAGGTATGCCAGTGACTTGGCTACTGGATCTTCCTAGAAGAAGCAACAACAGGATTGGTTGCCAATTAAATTTTCATTTGGGTAAAGTATTGATGCTGTAGAAACGTCAATGTTCTAGAAAAGTTTAGACATGTGACAAAGAAATCTAGTGATATAATGTAGTATTAATATAGTATCATGATTAAGAGGATAGCCTTCTGAACCAGACTGCCTGAATCGAAACCTGTTTGTTTGCTGTGTGACCTTGGGCAAGCTGGTTAATATCTCTAAGCCATAAGTTTTCTCAACTATGAAAATGATAGTACCTACCTTAGTTTGGGGTAAGGTTTAAAATAATAATGAGAAGTGTGTAGGATAGTGCTTGGCACATACTTAGTGCTTGAAACTTAACTGTTATTGCTGATCTTGTATGTGAAAAGTGGAAAGGTTAGGAAGCTTGTAAACTCACCTGTATTAATTCCAATTCCTGTGCTTCTACTGCCTCCAGGGGGCGTTGTCGCTTCTAAGACACGGGGAAAAGGAGGAAAATGTGAGGTGAAAAGGATTTAGTGTTTTGAGGAGAGTTAAGGATATACTTTTCTGTACATCCACGGTACCATGAGAAATACTTTACTACTAGAAGTTTTCCTGTGGAAGATTCTCTTCTGGCTGGCTCACCTGTGCTTGAACTCCCTGGTGCAAGTGTAGTGCCAGAAGATACCCTAGGGGTACCTGCAACAAGAAGGGTGGCTTTCCCCCTCATGGAGTTGGGGGATGGGAGTTCTGCTTATCTTGTGGGCCTTTTCAACTGCTGATTAATTATTTATGTTCTCTTATGCATAGTTTTATTCCCAAATCAAATAAAGATAGAAATTCCTTAACAGAGAAGTCCCCTTTCCTGGGATTTAATGGCAGAAAAACAAGGGTTATTCATGGTCTGCCTCTTGTTCCTCTGATCCACTTCCTACCATAGTCACCTAATGGGTGCTTTCAGTTCCTTTATTTATGGATACTTCTATAGTAGCTCCTAAGAGAATGAAAATTTTAAAACTTAAGCATGAAGATAGATAGTTACAGGGATAACCACTGCACATTTCAAAAACTTCTATGCTCAAAGAAGAACATAATGAATAGAGATACATTTTCTGTGTTCATTGTGGTTTTACCTGAAATAGAACCCTCTGGCACCATCTTTCCATCAGCTAATACCATGGCAATACTTAAAATGACAAAGAGAAAAAGAAAACTTCCTAGACAATTATCACTTTCATTCTCATTTTCAGGGACGTACATATGGAGGCTGGACCATGGAAATGGAGACATTTCAAAACTCTGCCCAAATCGATTCAAAATCAAGTAGCAAAAGAAAACACTGTTGGTCTTAGATGAAAGTTCCTTAAAAGTCCCTACTCAAGAAATAATCCTACTAAGAAACAAAAAATTAATTTATAATCAACCAAAAGTCACACCCACCCAGACACACCCACATCTACCCCCACACCCCCACATTAATTTTTATCCATTTCCTATCTGACTACAGTAGTAGTGTGGTTTCTGGAAGAAAAAGAGAAGAAACAGATAAAGGTTGAGTATTTAGGAAGAAAAGAAAATATGGTGTGGTGCTCTTACATGAGAAGATCTGTGTGAAAGACATTTTGTCACCTTATTTTTAGAAAAGATGCTTTCTTTCCAGCTTGTTAACCTACCAGTATGGAAACTTCCAGGCGCAACAGTTGTACCTAAGGCCACACCAGTGGTACCTGGAATAAGAATGTTCCACATTGAGGCAATCTGAGTATAAAGTAAGTATATATTTCTAGGGCCATATCATTCAGTGGTATATTACACATGGACAGCTCCAGGAAGAATTATTCATAGAGATTATTTTGTCCGCATGGCAGCTCTATGAGCATACCTTTTCATTAACCTTTCAGCTCCTGGATTGAATATGTAATTTTTCCCATGTATCAATTATTTCATTCATTCAAAAATATTTATTGAGCCCTGTTGAATACTAGAAATTCACTAATAAAGAAAATAAATAAAGAGGTTTTTTTCCCTTAAGAAGTCTTTCATCTAGTAGGCTTACTTAACAATATAACACTATTTTCAACTGGGAACAGAGGAGTTTTTCATCATCTTTACTTGTTTTACTTTTAGTGACTTGATCATCTGATACCCCAGAGGTAGTTCCCAATGGTTGAAAGTAGGAAATATTCTGAGTATGTTATCACTTTAATCAATCACTGAGGCAACCAGCCATTAAGCAACTTAGAGTTTAAAGTTCAAGATAAAAAGTCAAATGGGAGGCAAGGAAATTCTAATTTCATTTTAGTCATCTACTTGCCTCAGACAGAAGCTTTAACATCAATAATGTCCAGTGGGTTAATCTTCCAAGAAATCACTACTCCTACTACCCTATCCAGAAATCCACACCACATGGCCAGGCACTGGAAAAGGGTCTGAATCAATAACACTATTGACCTGGGTGTGGACTAGAGGACCTGCATTTCCTGTATAACAATCTTTCTGATCCAGAGACAAACTCATGATCGTAATCAATGGCAATGCTAACATCTGGGACTCCTAGTTCTCATTGATTTCTTTACAGGGTCTCTGATGCCTTCTAAGGAATCTTTGGCCTCTGGAAACAAGAAATGAGGAAAGTAGAAAGTATGTTTGGGATTACATATTTCTCCTTGAAGTTAGACAAGGAATGATTGCTTGAATACATTCGCTTACCAATGCTGGATCGTCCAGATGTAATAGTTGTGCCAGAGACTACTCCACTGGTACCTAGAATCACAAAAGGGAAGAGACTGATATGTCATTTCCTTTACATTAAAATGAGGCCTAAGAAAAAAAATATTATAAGCTTCTTTTAAGTCACAGGGTTCCTCATTTATCTTTTCACAAGAACATTTCTTTCAAAAAAAAGATGTTTTCACATTATAATTCTCATTCTGAATATTGGTAAATATAAAGGAGATATCTTTATATAATATAAATATAATACAAATATAAATATAAATATATAATATAAAATATAAATATAAAGGAGATATCTATATTTTCTCATGATTTTCTGTTTGAATGTCAGAGATCTGGCTACCTCGTATGGTAGTCTGGGCTTCTGAGGAGGAGAAAAGAAATGGGGCTGGAGAGAGAATATTCTGCTGTGTATAAACTTAGGGATGATTAAGGTAAAGCATTAACACTCTGGAATTTGGAGGTTTAGATAAAGACTTCCATAGTACATAAATCACTCTGTGTTTATTTCAGCTAATTTAAATTTCTAGCAGGAATTCACAAAAAAGGGAAAACTTTCTGGCACTATTTGCAATATCAATGGAGAAATCTTATCCTATTCAGACTTAGAGCAATGAAGCCTGGTTCTGGAATTAATAGATTTTCAAAAAGATTTTATCTCTAATAGCAAACCTATTTTGACTCACTTGCAGTGCCCCTAAAGTAAATGCAAACTCTCTAAAGGAAAGCCTAGAGAGTCCTAAATGTGATGACCCTAAATCATGGGCTCTTCAAGCTCACCTGTCTGGGCTCCAGTTCCAGTCACTTTGGTGGAAGTTGTGGCCTCTAAAGAAAGAAATAAGAGAATGATGAAGTCTGGGAATTTGAAATATTGGGAAGAGATCTTGTATTTCTTTATTACAGCAGCCCTGAAAGGGAGATCATGACATCTGAGATAAAATAAGGGCGATTTCTTCCTTATTAACCCACCTGTTTTAGAACTTCTAGATGTAATGGTTGTTCCAGACAATTCTCCAGTGGTACCTAAATTGCAAAAAAGTAAATGGAGTAATAGAGGTTTTCCCACCCTCAGTTCATCTTAGAATCATTAATGTGGCCCTAAAGCACTGAAGCTCCTTCCTAAGACTATGGATAACATTGAAATTGAACAACTTCACAGCGTTTTATTTCTCAGGTCAATCTGGGATGGAGGTGTTACTATGAGATTTCCCTTTCACTATGTGGTAAAGAGAAGCAGATCTTTAAATCACCCTTACCTGCCTCACTTCCAGGAATATATCCACCTGTTGTGCCAGAAGAGCCTAAGGAAGGGATTAAGCATGGTTTTAATCTTTATAAGTAGTAGCCTTTGACTTAACTAGAGCATTTTGATAATCAGTGTCTTTATGAAGCTTTCTAGTGAAGGGGGGTAGAAAATAAATAATACGCATCACGTATATGAGAGAGATGATAGGAAGTGGCAAGCCACGGGGAGAAGGTAAATTGAGTAAGGAGGATTAGAAGGACTGGGGATGGGATATATTCAATGTACACTCATACGTTTTTTTCCAGAAAAACGAAACAAATAAACAACAAAAAAAACCACCTCTGTGAGCCAGAACATAAGTCTGCAATTCCCAAGCTGAGTCACTACTCTCACTGGTATAATACAATATTGTTAGAGGAGGTCATTGAGAGGACGTGAATGTCAACTGACCTATGAGCTGGACTCTGGAAATGGGAGTAAGGGATGTATGTTCTGCCTACATTCCCACAGCTGGAGCCGTTTTCTAGGAAGCAGTCTTGAGAGAGAAATGTGTCACTGAGACCAACTGGATGGCGTAGAGTGACTGAACCCACCTAAGGTCTCTACATAAACTTTTAAGATTCTGGTGGTGGGTGCAGAGATCTACTCATCTTGTGGTTACCCAAAACAAGCCTCATAAGTAAGGTACCTTATTATATCTGCCACCTACCAACCTGGAGTGGTTTTGCCACCTGCCAGTCTCTTTGCTGTTTGTGTACAGAGCCAAGCTCAGATTTCACCTGGAAAGCTCTGGAGTTGTACAAATATGGCCACATGGAAGATGCAGGTCCCTTTCTCACACTCCCACACATTTTCATGCTTAACCCAGATAGAGAAATGATGAGAGACCTAGGCCTCCACTGAAAAGCTTACCGCCTGCCAGTCCTCCTTGGGTGGTCTTGCTCCCTCCTGTGAAAGTTGTGGCTTCTAACAGAGGAAAAAAGAGAAAGAAAAAGTAAAGACTAGGGGCACCTGGGTGGCTCAGTCAGTTAAGCAGCAGACTTCAGCTTGGGTCATGATATTGTCACAGTTCATATGTTAGAGCCCCACACTGGGCTCTTTGCAGGTAGCTCAGAGCCTGGAGCCTGCTTTGGATTCTGTGTGTAGCTCTCTCTGCCCCTTCCCCACATGTTCTCCCTCTCTTCCTCTCTCTCTCTCTCTCTCTCTCTCAAAAATAAATAAACAAACATTTTTTAAAAAGTAAAGACTGGGAGTGTACACAGGACATTCAGAAATAATATCTTCTAGGTATACATCTTGTGTATAACTGTCAGATAATGGACCCTATGATGCCTTGATGAAACCTCCTTAGAGGACAAGGAGGAAAAATTGAAGTGTCTGAACAGAATTTATTGATGTCAAATTTTGAACAACTGTTAAATGTTTCACCAGACTGCTATATATGGAACATCCGAAGAGTTTTTATATATTTCAGTCAGGACCTTTTACTGGGAAGTTGTTAGAAAGTACAATTAGTGCCTTAACAGTGCTCACCTGTGATGATGCTAATTCTTGTTCCACCTTCTCCCACAGAAGTTGTGGCTTCTGAGAGAAGAAAACAGGATAGAGATGATTGGAAACTATTTAAGGACCACAGAAAGGAGTGGGTAGTTCTTTACAGAATACTACTAGAGGAGACATCTAATTTGTGAGAGGACATATGGAAGATTCCCTGTTGTCTTCTTGCCTCACCTGTAACAGAACTGCCAGGAGCAACGGTTGTACCAGGGGCTACCCCAGTGGTGCCTGAAACACAAAGGTCTGAAGTCATCACAGTGACTCATGTTTATCTCCTGAAGACCCGTCTCTAGAAGGAAATCTGGATGTATCTCATATCAAGAGGCCCTTTCACTGCTTCCTAATGAAAGTGAGAATCATATATCTTTCCTACGACCCATATCATTAAGAAAGCAATCAAAATAATAATGTTCCCAATTTGAGGCAACCTCCCTAGACATCCCATTATTTCAAAATAGAGGAAACAGGGTGGCTTTCTTCTAGGTTCACCTGTCACACTCCCAGTTGCTTGGCCTCCTGGTACTGCAGTGGTGCCTACCATTAGAAGAAAACCAGAAAAAATATTGAATTTGCCAAGGAAAATACTGAGCATCAATACCGTTTCTTTGAGTAAGAAAATCTTTTGTAGGACAGGCCTATTTAGGAGTTCACATAGTTTTCTCTTCTTCCCAGACACTGAATAGTCCTCAGCTCCCCCTGACATCTTAATGATGTATTAGCCATCACAGGAGAAACCTATCATACTGACTACACCCCCAGCCCATCTTTAAGAAATAGCAACTGTGAGGCTCAATGCCAGTATTGAGAGCTCTTCCATACATTAAATATGTGAAATCTAAGAAAATGCTGAAAACAAATGCAAACTACTCTATAGGAAGGCATACCTCCCTGCAGGTGACTTCAGGGAGATTCATATTTCACACTAAACCCCAAACTGTGAGCTAATTATTCTCACCAGATCTGGATCCAGTTCCAGAAGTACCACTGCCTTCTGTTAAAGTTGTGGCCTCTGAGGGAAGAAAATGATGAATGATGAGGTCTGAGGATTTTGGATATTAGGGAAAAAATTATATTGATATTTTTCAGAGCAAGTCTACTAACTATATTATGAGGTTAAATATGGAGATTTATTTCTTATTAAATTACCTGTGTGTGAACTTCCAGATATAATGGTTGTCCTAGAGAATTCCCCTGTAAAACCTAAAAGAAGAAAAATAAAGGGATCAACACAGCATTAGCTCCTGGGTCAATATGGCATTGAACCACTGGAAGACCTTTCCTGACGATCTTTGTTTCTGAAGTAAGTGAACCATCAATTACTTCCCACAATTTCTTTCCCCGACACACCTACTAATCCTTGTTCTACTGGGGTTCCTTTTCCATATATTCCACTGAAAGTGGAAGGAGACCTTATGTCACCCTCCCAGTTTCCCTTCCAGCCCCTGGGCTCCTAGGAGTGACAGAGGTGACTAAAAGAAGAAAAAGGCAGATAATCAATTACTTGAGGCATTTAGATAGTCAGACGTTTAAAAACCACTCCTTAACTCTAATACTGTCATATGATGAATTTATTTAGTCCATTGTACCTGGCTTGGAACTCTGTGAAATCATGGTGGTACCTATTAAAGCAAATAGAGTGAAACTTCAAAGTAAGTATACATTTTATCATTACACTCATACTTCTTAAGCATCTCATCTGTGAAATATTGTTTTTGGCCCTTGGACGTATCAGTGAGCAGGATATTCAAAGATCCCTCCCTTGATGCAGCTTACATTCTAGCAACTGGAGACTGGCAGTGGACAATCGACGGAACAAATAACTCAATGTGACAAAGTTAGGAAGTGGGAAAACAGCACACTATGTAAAAGGTCAGGGGCTTTGCAAGGCAGGGGCTGACCAGCAGGGGCTGCCTTCATCGCTGCTATCCAATGACTAGCTCTGCAACACTGGGTGTCTGGAAATCCATATGGAGACATCTTGAGGCTATAGAATTTCTAAGCTGGCCCAGGTGTGTGACTCTGGCATGTTATATTTCCCAGACGAAATGCAAGGCCCTCTCCCAGGTCAGGTGTTCATTGTAGCCACACAAACAGATTTGATAAAAACCCCAAAGCCTCACACTAAAAGAGCTCACCTCCTAGAAGTTCTGCTTGGGTGGTCCCACTTCCTCCTGTGGACGTTGTGGCCTCTGACAGGGAAAAGGAAGGAAGAGGTAAAGACTAGCGTGTGCTGTTGTCAGAATATATCATCCAATGGCCCAATTTTGCATGTACTTTTAGACTTACCCGTGTTGTAATTTCCAGGTTCCGGAATTTTCTCAGAGACTACACCAGTAGTACCTAAAACAAAAAAGGGGCAGCAGTCATTAGGTTCAATTACTTGTCCACCATGGGATTTATATAGGAATCTAAAGTCTCCATGTAGCGGTAAACTATAACCCTGAGACTTTGAATGCCAAAAAATAATCCATATATACCCCTATGTAATATTTATTTCTATAATAATTTTACTGAGAAAGTTCTCAACCATCATGCCCCTTTCTTTGGGAGGAGAGATGGGAAGTTTCCCTCCACATTAGTTTGTCCCTATCCATCTGTCATTAGTTTGACTTCATGATGGTCTACTGAACGTTCTTGTAAACTCAGGAGATAAGGAGGCAATGTAATGACTGTCTTGTCCTTTTTTCTGAACTTGCTTAATATAACATATACAAATAGTATATATTTTTTTCAGAAGACTGTTTTAAGAAGTGTTATGAAGTACAGGTATTAGCTTAGCAGTACTCACCTGTGGCTATTCCAACTCTGGTTGTTTCATTTTCTCCTAAGAAAGTTGTGGCCTCTGATGGAGAGGAGGAAAGAGTTAATTGGAAAATATTTAGGGTCATGGAAAAGATAGATGGCATTCCTGCAAAGACTAATCCCAGAGGAGGGGCGCCTGGGTGGCTCAGTCAGTTGAGCATCCGACTTCAGCTCAGGTCATGATCTCACAATTCGTGGGTTCGAGCCCCGTGTCGGGCTCTGTGCTGACAGCTAGCTCAGAGCCTGGAGCCTGCTTCAGATTCTGTGTTTCCCTCTCTCTCTGACCCTCCCCTGCTCATGCTGTCTCTCTCTCAGAAATAAATAAAACATTTAAAAAACAAAAATGACTAATCCCAGAGGTATCATGCAATTTATGGGAGAACATGTGGAAAGTTCCCTACATCTCGTTAGCTCACCTGTGTTAGAACTTCCAGGGGCAACAGTTATGCCAGGGACTACCCCCGTAGTGACTGAAATACAAAGGAACAGCAGTCGTCATTGTGCTCTTGTTTCCTTCCTAAAAACATGCCTCTAAAAGCAACCCAAGTATATCTTCTTTATATCTAACTGGCTTACTCTCTGGCACTTCTCTGATGACAATCCCTATGTATTTTCTTGTCAACCATTTTATTACCAAAGCAACCAGAATGACAATGTTGTCAACCTAAGGTAACCTTCCCAGAATTCTATGTCTGGTCGCTCTCACCTGTTTTACTCCCAGTGACTTGGCTTGGTGATGCTACAGTGGTACCTGCTATGGTGTAGCAACAGAAGGTATGAGTGTGCTCAGAACCCCAGACTTTGGGGAAATACCTCACTCTTCAGTGCTTTCTTGTGAAAAGCAAACATTTATCCATATAGGGCAGACATGTCTCCAGGGTCCATGTGGCTCTTCTCCATTTCTCAGCAATAGAAAGTTTACTGACCCTTTCCCTCTTCAAATGCTTATAATGGTTATAATTCCACAGGAAAAAATTTATCAAAATAATTAGTACAATCATTCCATCTTCAGGGATTACAGCTAAGATGGTAGACTCTGTTATTAGTAGCTTTTCAGGAAAAAAAATTCAAAACTGAAAAAGAATTAGTTGGTCAATTGTGCAATATTAGTAAGGTAAACATGAACTGCTCCCCAGAAACTTTCTCTCTCTAGGCTCTCCTACAAATGTCATCATTAGTGGTAACAAGAAGATGGGAACTGGTCCCTCTTACCTGTTTTGAATCCACCTCCACTGGTGCCAACACTTTCTGTGGAAGTTGTGGCCTCTTGAGGGAGGAAATGGAACAGTAAGTTCTGGGTGTTTGGGTGGTTGAAAGAGATATTTTGCATTATTTAATCACCACAACCGTACAAAAAGTTTCATGTCGAGTGTTCAAACAGATAGCTTTCTAATTATTTCCACTTTAATCTGTGTTGGAAACGCCTGTTTTAACAGATTTCTCTGGCAGTAGGCATGTGTGGCTCACTGAGCGCTACATGTTAAATGGTCCCCATTCAACAAAGGGAGAATCTAATGGATCAGGTGGATAAGTATCAAAACCAAGCACTTCATCAGAGAAAGACCCCGAGGGGATTTTATATCAGTGAATGAAATAAGACAAAAATGTCTGTCTTCATAGAGCTAACATTTGAATATACATACTGAAAGAATGTAAAGGGAGAGCAATTGAGAAAAATGAGATATTCTAAAGATTAAACCTCTTTTGCTTATCTTTTAAAACTGTGCTAAATCTAAAAAGAGATACCAGGATGCAATAAAAGCTAAAAATTTTCAGGGAAAGGGTAGGTGATAAATAACACTAATAGGCTGAGAAATATGGCGCTGCCTTTTTTTTAAATGAGAGGGATATTTCTAGAGTTATTTTTATTTTATTGATTTTGTACATTTGTACACAACTAGTGTAGAATTTAACTATTATGTAAGGGAATCAATATGCCTTTGTTATGATTTAAGAAGGCATAAGAATAGAAAAAGCAAAAGCCCTATGCTACCAGACCCTAATTTGAAGTTCATGTTTTATTAATTTGATAAAATTGAGACTTCTATTATATCCTTTATTCTAGTTACTGTAATATCAATTTTTTTTTACAAATGCACAGTTACAATTTCATATTTTCTCACCTGTTACTGAAAACTGTTTTTATGACACTAAAACTTAAAAACACAACTATATTTATAAATGCACATTTTTAATTTCTCATGAAAAGATTAATTTGTATTAGATTATAATTTGGAAAGAATATCATAGTCTCTTAGATCTTTTTCAGTGTTCAAATGGAAAACATAAAAATACTAAAGCCACATTCTACAGAGAATATTTTGGTCATGTTAATGTTGACTTACCTACAATTAATACTGGTGGAATTCTCTTATCTGAGCCTAATAAAGGAAAGATTAAATTCATGTTTCAGTTAAAAAATATATGTGAATTTCATTTCAAAAAATCACTTTGGTGCTTCAACTGCCATCATATATAAATTTTTTATTATAAAACAGAAGTATGTTATTTCCATAGAGGCTGATCTTACAAATTAAAGTCACTGAGAGCTCTCTTGGGAGAGAAACTGTGAAGTGCTCTGTAAGGAGTCGTCTATGAGTTACAAATTATCAAACAAAGCAAAACCATTGCCTTTATCCAAGTAAAAAATTTACACAAATGTAATTCTTGTTTAGTTCCATTTAATTAAAGATTAAGGTCTTGAACTTGGAAAATGCAAAAGTACTGTTGTTAGTAACAATAAAGTACATACTATGCCCAATAGTCACTTACTAGTAACCATGACATTAATTTATAATATATTTTTGTGTTCAATATACAATTTGAAACATGTCAATTTCTTTACATTTACACAGTCATAGACTGAATAAAGAATAATTATATTTTTAGTCTGAATCAAATTATTGAATTATTTTCTAGTGACTAGGTAGTAAAACAAATTTACATAAGCACTCTGTCTGTAAAAGTAGTTAGAATAAATGTAGATTAATAATTTATCAGAAAAAAAGCATACACAATCTATTCCTTAAATAATGAACAATTTTATCACTAACATCTAGGCTCCAAGAGATATTTAAATACTAAAAGCAAGGTTTTATTAATGGATCAAAGACCATTTTATATTTGCCTTGCAGGAGGATGGCATTGTGGGTAGGAGCAGTCTTTGGAGTCAGTATGCAATGGATAAAAATACTGTCTCCAATATTTGATTTGCTGTAGATTGTGAACAAATTTAGGTAGTATCTTTTCTAAGTTCTTCATGAGCAAAATGAAATAACAAAATTTATTCAAAGTTAAATGAGACAATATATTTAAGGGCATTATAATTATTTAACTGGCATTATTAATAATTATTTTACCATTTTTAATTAGCCAGTGAGCATGAAAAGTTAAAAAAAAAAAAAAAAAAGCATCTGACATCTCCTGCTTACTTACCAGTAGTGGAACTTCCTGGTGCAATTGTTGACCCAGGGGCAGCTTCTGTGAAATTTGAAAATAAAATGAAAAGTCACGGGGTGCCTGGGTAGCCCAGTCAGCTAAGCAGTTGACTCTTGATTTTGGCTCAGATCCTAATCTCATGATGGGTGAGTTTAAGCTCCTAGTCTGGCTCTGAGCAGACAGCACAGAGTCTGCTTGGGATTCTCTCTCTCCCTCTCTCTGCCCATCCCCTGCTCATGCTCACCTATGCTCTCTCTCTCTCTCTCTCTCTGTCTCAAAAATAAACATTTTAAAAATTAAAAATTAAAAAAAAAAAAAACAAGGAAATTCATGAGCAGTGTTCTTATTTTATGGGGACACTACCTGGACAATGTAACAACTTTGAATCCAGTGGTTACAGTTCCAGTACCTGCTATACTAACAAAATATAAGGTCCTAAATGCCAGAAGATTTGGATCTGCTTTTCTGATTTATACTCAAACTACACTAATACCCATTATTATATTTATCAGGAAATCTTATTTTGTGTAACAACCTGAGCCAATACCTTCCCTTCCCACTCGCCTGATTTTCCAGGTGTGGCTAATCTGGTTATGCTTTCACCTGATTCAGTTTCTCCATATGATTTTTCAGTTGTGCCTGATTAATGAGAGAACTGAAAATCATCTTTATGTGGTTCATTTTAGGAAAAACAAATCTACCACTACTTAGGTATATTTAATTTGTAGATGTTAATAATAAACCTAGTATATCTCTTAATCTTTTTCTCCAAATATTTGGTTTTTGACTAAAATAACAAACTCATTTTCACGATGAGTCTAAGCCACACTTGCATTGGGACACCAACAGATACCCAGGTAAGCCTTGCCTGCTTGTTTCCCACCCAGCAGTGGTGGTTATAGACCCTGACGCTCCGGCTGTGATTCCCCTGCCTGAACCTGTTGTATCTCCCGCTGACCCTCTGGTTGCACCTGGTAAAAAATAAAAGTAGGAGGATAAAAGCATACAATTCTTAAGAAGTCTGTGGACTCAATTTAAAACAATAATGTTCTACAAAGCTCTCATCTTCACTGCACAAGTTGAGTTCTAAATATTCTAATTCTGATAAGTGTATATAGTTCAAAAGTAGAAATATGAAGAAATTAAAAGTGCTTATAATAAGTGGTCTATTTTTAGTAAACTTGACTTGCCTTCAGATGTGGTGATCTCATTTCTCAACATCGCAGTGGTTGACCCAGTTGATGGTCCACTTGTCTCTGATCCTCCTGGTGATGGTCCAGGTGTCCCTGAAACTTCATGTAATGGCCCAGTTGTTCCTGATGCTCCAGATGATGGTCCAGTTGTCCCTAACCCTAAAACAGCTGGCCTCGTGGTCCCTGACTCTCCATTTAATGGTCCAGCTGTCACTGATCCTCCAGCTGATGATCTAGTTGTCCTGGATTTTTCAGATCCTGGTGCTGTTGTTTTTGAAACTAAAACAGGTGGTCCAGTTGTTCCTCCTGCTCCGGATGGTATTCCAGTTGTCTCTGGTGCTCCAAATGATGGTGCAGTTGTCTCCAAACCTGTAACAGATGGGGCCGTTGTACCTGATCCTCCAGATGATTCTCCTGTGATCGCTGAACCTTCAGCTGATGGTCCAGTCCTCGGTGATGCTACAGATAGTTCAGTTATCCTTGAATTTACAATAGGTGGTGCAGTAGTCTCTGATCTTTCAGGTAATCTTAGAGTTGTCCCTGATCCTTCACTTGATGGTCTAATTGTCCTTGAATCACTGACTGATGATCGAGCTGTTTCCAATATTTCAATTGATTCAGTGGTCTGTAATCCTGATGATACAGTTGTGGCTGATCCTTTAGTTGATGGCCTGGTTGTTTCTGATTCTATACCAGATAGTACAGTTGTCCCAAATCCTTCAGATGACGGTAGAGTCGTCCATGAACCTAAAACAGATGATCCTGTTGTTCCTGATCCCCCAACGAATGGTTCTGTTGTCACTGATTCTCCTAGAAATGTTGTGGCAGTCTCTGGACTTACAAAAGAAGTTTCCGTTGTCTCTAATTCTCCAGACAATGATGTAGTTGTTCGTGATCCTTCAGCCAATATTCCAGTTGTTCCTGAGACCCCAGCAGGTAGTCCACTAGTTTCTGATTCTATAATGGATGATATAGTTGTCCCTGACCCTTTAGCTGTGGGCCCAGTGGTTCCTATCGCTCCAGATGATGACCCAGTTGTTCCTGATCCTATAACAGATAATGCAGTTGTCTCTGATCTTTCAGCCAATGGTCCAGGCGTCCTTGATTCACCAGTTGTTGATCTAGTTTTTCCTGGCAACTCAGCTGATGTTCCAGTGGTCTTTGATTCTCCAGATAATGATCCAGTTGTACGCGACCATATAGCTGCTGGTCCAGTTGTGTCTGCACCTAAGAGTTCTGTCGTTTGTCGTGTTGTTCCAGATATTCCAACAGACAGTCCTGTGGGGCCTGATTCTCCAGCTGCTTGTCCAGTGGATCCAGTTGATGCTCTGGTTGATGGTTCAGTTGTCTCAGATAGACCAGCTGATGAGATGGTTGTTCCTAATGCTTCAGCTACCGATCTAGTGTTCCCTGAAGCACCAGATGATACGCCAGGTGTCACTGATCCTTTAGCTGATAATCCAGTTGTACCTGATTCTAATCCTGCTGCACTACTTATCCCCAATTCTTCAGATGATGGTAGAGTTGTCCCTGAACTGAAAACAGATTGTCCTGTTGTTCCTGATCCTTCTTGGAATAGCCCTGTAGTCCCTGATCCTTCAGCTGCTCTTTGTGTCATCCCAGATTCTTCGGAGGATTGTCCAGTGGTCAGTGATCCTCCTATGGAGGAACCAATAGTGCCTGAACTTGAAACAGAAGTTTCAGTTGTTTCTGTTCTTCCAGCAAATGATACGGTTGTCCCTGATGCTTTAGTTGATAGTCCAGTTGTAGCAAAACCAGCTGATGGTCCAGGTATCACTGTCAGTCCTACTGACAGGACAGATGTTCCTGACTGTAGAGCAGATAGTCCAGTTGTCCCTGACCCACCAATTGATAGTACAGTTGTACTTGATATACCAGCTGATGGTCTAGTATTTCCTAATTCTCCAGTTGATGGTCCAATTGTCCCTTTCACTCCAGATGATGGTTGAGTTATACCTGTCAGACCAGATGATGTTTCAGTAGACCATGAACTTATAAAAGATGGTCTAGTTGAAAGAACAGTTGATCCTGAACTTACAACAGAAGATCTAGTGGTCTCTGAACGAAATATAGTTTGTACTGTTCCTGATCCTCCATGGAAAGGTCCTGTGGTCGATGAAGCTCCAGCTGTTGGTCTTGGAGACCCAACTTCTTCTGCAGATTGTCCAGTTGTCTGTACGCCTTCTACGTAAGGACCACGAGTCCCTGAAATTACAGAAAAGGTTGCTGCTGTTTCTGAACCTCCAGGAAATGACCCAGTTGTGTCTGGTCCTTTCACTGATGACCCAGTTGTTCCAAATCCAACTGATGCGCCAGAGGTCCCTGCCAGTCCGCCTGAGGGTACAGATGTTCCCGAACCTACAACACTTGTTCCTGCTATTATTCCAGATGCACTCGTTGAGAGTCTAGTTGTTTCTGATCCACCAGCTGATGATCTAGTTGTTGCAAATTGTTGAGCTGATGACCCGCTTATTCCTGTCACTCCTGCTAATGGTCCAGTTATGCCCTCCACACTGGATGATGCCACGGTTGTCCCTGTGCCACCGACAACCATTCTTGTCGTTGCTGAGCCTCCTCCAAATGGTCCCGTTGTCCTTGCTTGTTCAGTTGACTGCCAAGTTGTATGGATGCCTCCTACATTGGGACCAAAGGTGTCTGAAATTACAGGAAAGGTTGCTGCTGTTTCTGATCCTCCAGGAAATGATCCAGTTGTGTCGGGTCCTTTAGCTGATGGCCCAGTGGTTCCTAATCCATCTGACGGGCCAGAGGTCCCTGCCAGTCCTCCTGAGGGCACAGATGTTCCTGAACCTACAACAGTTGGTCCTGATGATATTCCAGACCCACCTGTGGAGAATCTAGTTGTTTCTGATCTAATTGTTACTGCTCCACCAGCTGAAGATGTAGTTGTTGCTAATTGTTCAGCTGATGACCCACTTATCCCTGTCACTCCTGATGAGGGTCCAGTTATGCCCTTCATACTGGATGATGCCACGGTTGTCCCTGTGCCACCAACAAATGTTCTTGTTGTTGCTGAGCCTCCTCCAAATGGTCCTGT